AGCCCAAACTGATTAGAGTAGTTAGGTTGAGGACAGTTGAAAATTTTACACCAGATGTAAATATGAAGATTTAGTTGAAATCATTGATCAAGAAAGACTGAAAAACTTAAATCTCAATATCCAACCACAGACGTGGAATCTGTTCAACAGAGACGACAGAAGGAAGCTCTGATTGGAGATGTCTAGTCTTACCTGCTGCACAGCTGCTCTGATTGGCTGTCTGTGGTCCAGCACCAGATCTGGGTCGTTCTCCATGCTGAGGTTTGCTCCTCTTCCTCAATCTGTGAACACATTTCGTCATCACTGCAAGGTTAACTACCACCGGGGGATGGGGGGTGGGGGGGTATCTTTCACAGCAGGAAGCAGACCAGAAGACCATGGGGCATTGATAATGTTTGGCTTAAAGTCTATGATTCTATTGTATTTACTCTCATGATGGATTGTTTGTTGTTTGTGTCCATTTTAAATTGTTTATGGAAAATACTCCTTTTAATCAGGTTCGGTTCAGCCCATTTGGTTTTTCTAATTAGAGGGAAGCAAACCTTTAACTTCACTTTAGTTTCTATCTGATCTGACAGGAATAACCTTTATCATCAAAGAAAATTATTTAAAAAAACTCCTAAAACAGAGAAGCTTTTAAATATGATAGATGTGTATACTTCAACATTAATTATATGTTTTCCTACCATGTTAAAATAGTAGGGGAATGGCAATATTTTATTTAGTCCCCCTCAGGAGTCTAATGAGTTGAAGCAGAGATCCCTTTGTAAGCAAAAAAGTGATCATTTTAAGTCGGTCAAATAAACCTCTTGACTGTATGTGGGGACCTTCAGAGCTCTTTGCAGACTTTAAGTTAGAAAAACTAGACCAGAGCAGGGTAGAACATTGAGCTGAGAGGGCTGTTATGATTGTCATCTTTGCAAAGACAAATGAAGTTTTACTGAGTGGATTACCATCAATTCCTTTTTTAACTTGGCTTCAGTAATAAGCTAATACTTATTGCAGTCCAAACCACTCATCAGAACCAGATGATAACCTTTCATGTTCTAATATATTAAGCAGATTTAATAAAATTCAACCGTTTGTAGCTACATTTATTGGTGAATCAGTTCTCTTTGTTAGCCACGGCCCCCCGTTTATCACAGCCGCTAAACCACCGGAGCCACGCCCCGCCTGTTTATCACAGACGTTAAACCACCGGAGCCACGGCCCCCCGTTTATCACAGCCGTTAAACTACCGGAGCCACCCCCCCCCTTTGTTTATCACATCCGTTAAACCACCGGAACCATGCCCCCCCATTTATCACAGCCGTTAAACCACCGGAGCCACGCCCCCTGTTTATCACAGCCGTTAAACCCCCGAAGCAACGTTCCCGTTTATCACTGCCGTTAAACCACCGGAGCAACGTTCCCGTTTATCACTGCCGTTAAACCACCGG